CAATTCGGAATTTCCCCAACCAGCGCAGAGCCCGGGGGACTAGAGTGAGTGCTTCGACTTGCACCCAACTGTCCTGGCTTTTTTGGCTTACTGTAATTATTGTAATCTGAGTGCAGCAGATAAATACTGGAAATCTCTGTAGATTAATGGCATTTCCTATCATTTTAAAATGTGAGCAAAATTCGCTGTTTTGTCATCACTATAGATATTACGCTAGAGAATCATTCTAACACTAGCTCTAAAGTGACGTTGGTTAATTAGCAGCAGTTTCTGCTGTTCTGATGTCAGCTGCAGATGTGAATGAATGGCGGAAGAAAGTAGTTCCTCGTACAAAAGGATTTTTAGATTCTCCGTGTTTGATTATCTTTTTTATATACACGATTATGCTGTCAAACTGTTGTATAAACTCAATATCACACTCATAGCAGTGCAATATTGCTGGATATCATTACTTGTGGGACCCTAAGGCACTCATTCTGCAGCCTTGAGCCAACGCACGCCTTCCACCAGTGCCGATATACAGCCACATCACACTGATACTTGTGTGAAATTGCTCATACATGTAGAAAAATAATATATAAATTTATATAATGTATATTATATCTAATAAAAATATATTTTTATTAGTATTATTATTATGGACGAAGCAGTGGCGCAGTAGGTAGTGCTGTCGCCTCACAGCAAGAAGGTTGCTGGGCCGCTGGTTCGAGCCTCGGCTCAGTTGACGTTTCTATGTGGAGTTTGTATGTCCTCCCTGTGTTCGCGTGGGTTTCCTCCGGGTGCTCCGGTTTCCCCCACAATCCAAAGACATGCGGTACAGGTGAATTGGGTAGGCTAAATTGTCCATAGTGAATGATTGTGTGTGGATGTTTCACAGAGATGAGTTGCGGCTGGAAGGGCATCCGCTGCGTAAAAACGTGCTGGATAAGTTGGCGGTTCATTCCACTGTGGCGACCACGGATTAATAAAGGCACTAAGCCGACAAAAAAATGAATGAATGAATATTATTATTTATATGTTAATAAAAAACTATTACACTGATCTATTTTATGTAACCAAATGTACAAATTAGCATAAAATACCAAGAAAATTTCTGCTTTTTAAACGTAATAGTAATAAAAAAAAAGAAAAATATTTATGTTAAAAAACAGTCATAAAATTAATAATCACACTTATCTTTGTCAAACATTGAAAATGAATGGGAAATTTCAGAAACGCTGCATACTGAACATAGATAAATAAATAAAAGTACTTTTGGTTTCACTGACCTTTTAGACCTTTAATTTTTCAGCTTTTATCTAAAATTCAAACTTGCATCAAATTTGAATATTGGTCTTTTATTTGTATTTGTATGTGACCTTTTATTTTTCACAATTCCACCAATAATCTCCACAGTGTCTAACTTCTGACCAAACGTTTTCTCCCAAAGCATTCAAGATTTAAGTGGGATATTTCATGTTTTGAATTCATTCTAACGCTGCCAAGACTTGCCTAGAACAACTTTAACTGTGAATTTATCAATGACACATGTTAAACCTCTTTTCCACTGCACACAACAAACGACAAGCGACAGACCGGAAGTCATTCATTTCCAATGGAGAGCAGTCCGGGAGCTGTGGGCAGTTCCGATCATCTCTGTATGCGGAAAATTCGGATTCTGAATTGAGCTGCGGATCCGTTGAAATATTTGAACTCCTGCAGCTAGACCGTATGCGACCTGCCGACCGGATGTGATGTATTCCAGTGTTTTACAAGCAGGTCCGTGCAGGAAAGATGAGAAATACTAGTTTATTTTGTTATTTTTTTAAATTATGAAAAGTCTATATATATATATATATATATAAAAAACATATTTGTTCATAAATGTAAGTAAGAAAGTAATAAAAATATATTTTTAATGTTGTCTCCACCTTCCCTCCAATATTTTAGCGGTCTATGAGTTTTCTAATATTCATTCCTTCATTAAACCATGTAAACGCACAGAGAGTAAAGGCTCCTGCTTTTGCACTCCTTTATTTCGGACACTACGAGAATCAGCTACTCTTCCATGGTGCACGACAACACTGAAAATACTGTGCGACTGCCACAAGGGGGCGTATTCCGACAGTCGTGTCCAAATGTCCTGTGCAGCGGAAAGGCCGCTTATCAATTGTGTCTTCGGGCTCTATTTTAATGGTCTTGGCACAAAGTCTAAAGCGCAGGCCGCAAAAGCATTAAGGGCATGTCCGAATCCACCTTTGCCGATTTAAGGACAAAATATTCTCTGAATGAGCGGAAATCAGGAAAATTAATGTTGCGTTGGTCTGAAAATAGCAACACGTTGTGGAAACACGTCTTGCGCCTTATTGGGCCGGGTGTATTATTGGACTGTTCAACTGTAGGCAACATGAATAATTACAAAATTCTAATCATGCAAAAATATAGCATCTTGTAAACATAGTTAAGACTTAATTTAAAACAAAATACTCGATAGACTGTAAGGGGGAATGAACAAACGTCAAATACCAAAATAAAATGTAACTCAGTTTTAAAATACAAAATTAACAATTTTAGCGGGAAGCTAACTTATACACTGAAAAATGATCTATTAATGAACTGTTTCAGTATTTTGTGAATCCCAACTGTTTATTTACAGTGGTGAAATGCATTATGGGATGTTGATCTTTGCTTTGTCGACTTTTGATGTTAAAATTCTACAGTACAGTTTAACAAAGAGACTTTTATTGACATTTTAGTAGTTTGAAATAATATAATGTTTAAAAAATATATAGAGAGAAATAGGACAGTAAAATAACAGAAAATGCACTGGCAGTTTATTACAAGGGTTTTGTAGCATAATATACAACACCAACCCAGACAATATAGCACTTTAAACTATTAAAATGTTCACAAAAGTAAGTTTTACAAACTTTTTAAAGTGAAAGGTAGTCAAAAGAAAGATCAAGGTGCCAAAATGCAATTCAAAAGCATCAAAAAATAAATACATAAATCACAAAATACAGAAAACTGCTAATTTAAGTATATCTTTTTTTTACAGTGGAGGATCTCCACATTCACACTAGACTACAAGGAAAACTGCAGGCTACTAGTTATAGGCTAATTAGTCATAAAAATAACACATAACCATAAAACATGATGAAAACAACAACATGAAAATGTGTTGGGAAAAAAAATCTCTAAAAAAAGCACTTGGGAAATATTTGACAAATAATTAAAAGTTCACAGGAGGCTGAACAAATGTGACTTCGACTGTAGGCAACATGAATAATTACAAAATTCTAATCATCCAAAAATACAGCGTCTAGTAATTATAGTTAAGACTTAATTTAAAACAAAATTCTCAATAGACTTTTGAGTGCAAAAAAAAAAGAAAAAAGAAATGCCATAAACAAACGTCAAATACCAAAAACAACTGTAACTCAGTTTTTAAAATACAAATTTAATCAAGCTATTTTAGAGAGAAGCTAATAAATACACTGTTAATGACCAGTTTCAGTATTTTGTGATTCACAAGTGTTTTCTGTTTATTTACGGTTGTAAATTGCATTATGGGATGTTGATCTCTGCTCTGTCGACTTTTGATGTTGAAATTTCAACTCTTCAGTTTAACAAAGTGACTTTTATTGACATTTTAGAAGTTTGAAATAATATAATGCAGTGGTTCTCAAACTGTGGTACGTGTATCACTAGTGGTACACGGGCTTACTTCTAGTGGTACGCAGAGGAATCTTTAAGTAATGAAAGAAAAAATGAATACAATTTTAATCATTTGATGTGTACGAAAACACCGAGGTGATCAGCATTGGCTGCTCTCTAAAGCCTATGATCAAAGCGCTGTGCTTAAAACGTTTACTTTAGTGCATCGCTTCATCAGCTGCTAAAAATTAATCCAAATGACACAGAACTAGAAAAAGAGGTGCGTGGTGCTTGTAGAGCAGATATGTGCTATAGTCCCCAACCCTCGGGCCACAGAGCGGAATTGATACCGGGCAGCACAAAAAATCATTAATTATTTCCGTTTTATTTATTATCGGAGTCTGAACAATCATTCATTTTGAAAAATCTTTTATTTTGAAAATTTATAGTATTCTTTAGTTACATCTCGGTCACATTTAACACACAGGCTAGCAAAATGAGTAAGAACTGCAGCACGACGCGCTTGCGTCTTCCAGGCGTCCCCAGTTGGAAATATCTTAACTTTTCAGAATGCCACACCGCGAGTCACTTGACAAAAATCGACTGATCAGCTTAATAATTTGTATGAAATATAACTTCATCAGACCAATTATCTCAGACAAACACACAGCACCCAAACACTGCAGGGCTTTTTTTATTTTCTCCATGAATAACATGACATGACATCCTCTAAGAAAAACAAGTTCCCTAGCAATCTACATACAAGTTAATGTTTAGAGTTCAAAAAGCTTTACAAATATGTCATATGTACATGCAGCATATATTTCAAAATCGATCAGAAATTGTATAAATATAATTATGACTCGTTTACGAACTGTGCAGTGCTGCAGCTGCTTAATTTGGCCAACTTCACTACTTTATTTCAATACTGGTAATTACGGTGGTACTTGGCGACACTACTTTTTCTGAGGTGGTACTTGGTGAAAAAGTTTGAGAACTTATATATATATAATGATATACTGATATAATGTATAAGAAATAATATATAGAGAGAAATACGACTGTAAAATAACAGAAAATGCACTGGAAGTTTATTACAAGGGTTTTGTAGCATAATATACAACACCAAGCCAGGCAGTATAGCACATTACACTATTAAAAATGTTTATAAAAGTCCCTTTTACAAACTTTTCAAGGTTAAAGGTTGTCAGAAGAAAGATCGAGCTCCTACAATGCAATTAAAAAGCATTAATAAATAAAAACACGGATCACAAAATACAGAAAACTGCTAATTTACTCATATTTTTTACAGTGTAGGATCTCCTCATTCTCACAAGACTATAAGGTAACCGCAGCCTACAGACCTGAGGAAGCTGTGCAGAGTGATGCAGTGGAGAAGACGCGCGCTCCATCCGCTCATAACTCTCCACAAACCTGCGGCCCTTCAGCATTACTCTTCAGGTGATCGGCGCTCGCAGGTAAACGCTGGCAGGTAAACACTGGCAGGTAAACACTCGCAGGTACACGCTCTACTGTCATCCATGGTCATCTAGCAGCAGCAGTCTGAGCCAGAAACATGACGCTCCGCAGCCCATGAGCTCATCGCAGCCCGTCTGTCTCACTCAAGCCTCACAGTCATCACTGAGTCTACATTTACATCCACACGACATCGAGGAGAGAGAGAGAACGAGAGGGGGAGAGAGAGATCCTCTGGCCAATGGCCTTCTATCAACAGTCTAAACTTGAAGACTGACTGCTGTTATTATTGTAAATGGCCACTTTACAGCAAGGTTTTGCTTATTGAAGTAAATTGAAGCTAATGTTAAGACTATAGAGAAAATCTGGGTATACCTAAGCATGGTTGAAAAATAAATCAGTATATTCAAATGCACATACCGTAAGCCTCATGCTGCGTTCACACCAGACGCGATAGGGGCGTCAAACGCGAGTGATTTACATGTTAAATCAATGCAAACGCGCAAATAGACATCCTGGGGCGAGATATGCGGGAATGGCGAGGCGCGAATGACGAGAATTGCGCGATCGCATGGCGCGAATGGCGTGGTGCGAATTGAGCGTTTTGCGCGTTTGACGCGAATCACTGGCGTTCGAAAATCTGAACTTCAGCGGATATTGGCACCGCGTTAACCAATCAGGAGCTTGCTCTTGTGGGGGCGTGATTGTGACGTATCGCCTGTTGTCCGTGTCCCAGGGGAAATCCCCCAGCAGACACCGACAAGAAGTTCATCAAACTGGCTGGGCTCAGTCAGAAGCACCGCTGAAAACCTCCATCAGCCAGGTTCAGTTTCTGGAGGAGTCTATGAGCTTAAAGATCTGGATGCACCTCTGAAAGGATGTAGTGGACTCAAACACGGCTCTAAACGTATCGACGATGTTTATCATCCTTCGTAAAGCACATAAACACTGTTATTTTCTTCATAAAATCCATGTTGGCCCTTTAGCTATGAAGCTAGAGTCACGAGGCAGACAGAAGCCCTGCCCATCACGCGAATCCGCGTCTGTTCTGAAGTGAATTTGACGCGCGAATGAAGCGGGGTTTGACGCGCGAACGAAGCAAGTAAACTCAAATGTTCACGCGGCTATTTACGCGCGAATAGTGCAATTTATCCCTGCGTTCCGGGTCTGGTGTGAACACAGCATTAGACACCACTGTTTCCTCGTTAAATTCCACAAGTGTAAAACCCAGGTGAAAAATAGGCCTGTCAGAGCCCAAAGCAGACTGTTGCGTGACTCACAGGGGACTCCATCAAGATTTGCATGTACTTTAGCTCAGGCTTTTTATGTCTCTCAGACCTGATGAACTGCCAGGTCATCAGGAGATCAGCAGTCAAAACAGACCCATATGTTGCTCTAGTACAGGGGTGTCCGAACTCGGTCCTGGAGGGCCAGTGTCCTGATTTTAGCTCCAACTTGCTTCACTTCACCTGCATGGATGTTTCTAGAAAGCCTAGTAAGAGCTTGATTAGCTAGCCCAGGTGTGTTTGATTGGGGTTGGAACTAAACTTTGCAGGACACCGGCTCTCCAGGACAGAGTACCCTGCTGAAAAATCCAGCTTAAACCAGCCTAGGCTGGTTTTAGCTGGTTGACCAGCCTGGTTTTAGAGGGGTTTTGGCCACTTCCAGGCTGGTTTCCAGCCATTTCCAGCCTGGTCTAGCTGGTCAGGCTGAAAAATTACCAGCCAAATCCAGCTTAAACCACCTTGACCAGCCTGGTTTAAGCTGGATATAGCTGGTTTTGGCTGGAATCCCAGCTAGGCTTGGCTGGTCAAGCTGGCATCAGCTGGTCATCTCCCAGCCTGACCAGCTAAGACCAGGCTGGAAATGGCTGGAAACCAGCCTGGAAGTGGCCAAAACCCCTCTAAAACCAGCCTGGTCGACTAGCTAAAACCAGCCAACCAGCCTAGGCTGGTTTAAGCTGGATTTTTCAGCAGGGTATGGACACCCCTGCTCTAGGGTCATTAATATTCGTGCCTCATGCTGCGTTTAACAAGCCACAATGTTTCCTAGTGAGATAATAATGATAATTTTCCTCCCTTAGATATTTTTTTAAGTTTATCTTAAGTAAACTTACTATGTACGTGGGACTCTTATTTTGAAAATGGGAGTTTAATAATAATAATAATAATTCCTTACATGTATGTAGCGCTTTTTTAGACACTCAAAGCGCTTTACACAATGGGGGAAATATCCTCAACCGCCAGTGCGCAGCATCAACCTGGATGACGCGACGGCAGCCACTTGGAAAATGTGTAAAAAAATACAATTTTCCTGTGTAGGACAAAACTTCTTTTCCCCCAAATCTGTTTGGTTGCATCACATGGCATTTAGTGAACTCAAGGCGTGATTAATGTTAATGTTCTCAAAAGTGTCTTCCTTCCAGCCACTCTCCCAAACATGTCCAAAAGTGCTAAAGAGGCCGTTGATGTCTGGACAATTAGTTCTGTTATTAGACAAACTGCTGTTAGTAACTCTGTTTTTGACCTTCAGTTGTCAGTATCCGGGCTGTGCTATGCATTTTTCACTCTGTTTGCTATTTTATCGACAAGACCCCAGAACATGAGTGATTTAGTGGTATTTAAGCGACAATATTCACACAGAGGGATTGATTGCTTGTACTGTACCTTTTTTTTTTAACCAATGAAATCGCAATTTAGGGTGGCACGGTGGCTCAGTGTTTAGCACTGTAGCCTCACAGCAAGAAGGTCACAGGTTCGAGTCCTTGCTGGGCCAGTTGGCATTTCTGTGTGGAGTTTGCATGTTCTCCCCATGTTGGCGTGGGTTTCCTCAGGGTGCTCCGGTTTCTCCAGCACTCCAAACACATGCGCTATAGGTTATTTAATGAACTAAATTGGCCACAGTGTGTGTGTGAATGAGTGTGTATGGATGTTTCTCACTGGGTTGCAGCTGGAAGGACATCCACTGCTTTAAAACATATGCTGGAATAGTTGGCGGTTCATTCCGCTGTGGCAACCCCTGATGTATAAAGGGACTAAGCCGAAAGAAAATGAATGAATAAACAAAAATCAAGTGCTTCCAAACTGTTCTCAACTTAAGATGTCCTCGGTATTGTCTCTCATAATTCCAGAAATACAGAGAGAGCCTACATATCTTTTTAGCATTGCGTAATGGTTTTAATTCGTTCTGCTTATCACAGATCTGCAGAGGACAGGCAGTTGTCTAAAGGGAATGCCCCACAGTTGCATTCGCTATAGATGTAACGCAGGAATAGAGCATTGTTTGTTCAGTGAGCAGAAAACGTGTTGACCTCCATGGGGCGTTCATCTTCTTGAGCCTCTGTGAACTGGACGTCCAGCAATTCAGACCCTCGGTTGACCTCCATCCACCAGAAGCCATGCCTCTATGACCGAACACATCCCAGAAGACCTCTCAGTCATCATTCAGAATCAGTATTATGTTCGAAAAGATGTCAAAAATGAACTTAGCATCATTTCTCTGCTGAAAAATCCAGCTTAAACCAGCCTAGGCTGGTTGGCTGGTTGACCAGCCTGGTTTTAGAGAGGTTTTGGTTATTTCCAGGCTGGTTTCCAGCTATTTCCAGCCTGGTCTAAGCTGGTCAGGCTGAAAAATGACCAGCTAAATCCAGCTATAACCAACTTGTGCAGCCTGGTTTAAGCTGGACATAGCTGGTTTTGGCTGGGCTCCTAGCCTGGCTAGGCTGGTCAAGCTGGTTTTAGCTGGTCATCTCCCAGCCTGACCAGCTAAGACCAGGCTGGAAAAGGTAAAATAATTAAGTAAAATAGTTACCAAACTTTTTAGTTAGTTGGATAAATTAGTTTTCAGCTAATTACACTGTCTTGTCTCAATAGGAGGATTTAGAGGTTTTTGCATTAAAAGCAGACGTGGATTCAGCTGGTTTTGATGCAAAAGAAAATTTACCTTGTTAAAAACCAAACAACTGACTAAAGTGATGTTTTTGAAAAAAAGGTATTTTATTTACCAGCTAATAACCTTTTCGTCACACATAAAATGAAACTTCTGAACCTAATTAATGGAGCCTGATAGAAACTGCTCATTTACAAGAAAAGAGGTCTGATGGATTTAGAGCAGGGGTGTCAAACTCAGTTCCTGGAGGGCCGCAGCCCTGCACAGTTTAGTTCCAACCCTAATTAAACACACCTGATCAAACTAAGTCCTTAAGGCTTGTTTGAAACCTACAGGTAAAGCTTCGGTCACACTGGGCTTTTCCTCCCTTAGACTTCCATTCATACGCACCGGAAGCTCAGTATCATGCGTCAAATTTCGCAGGTTGCTGCGGTGCAAAATTCAAGCTTGGTAAACCTTGAACGACGTAATCGCATTACTTGACAACGTGAGACCAACCAAGGATTATAACATGACCTCTCTGGACAATCGCTCGCTATTTTAATGCCTACTCTGCTGAAAAATCCAGCTTAAACCAGCCTAGGCTGGTTGGCTGGTTTTAGCTGGTCGATCAGGCTGGTTTTAGAGGGGTTTTGGCCACAGCCATTTCCAGCCTGGTCTTAGCTGGTCAGGCTGGGAGATGACCAGCTAAAACCAGCTTGACCAGCCTAACCAAGCTGGGAGTGCAGCCAAAACCAGCTATATCCAGCTTAAACCAGGCTGGTCAAGCTGGTTTTAGCTGGATTTGGCTGGTAATTTTCCAGCCTTACCAGCTAAGACCAGGCTAGAAATGGCTGGAAACCAGCCTGGAAGTGGCCAAAACCCCTCTAAAACCAGGCTGGTCAACCAGCTAAAACCAGCCAACTAGCCTAGGCTGGTAAGCTGGATTTTTCAGCAGGGTAATAATCTTGTTTATTCCCGCCCCTTTTCACGGTGCTGCGCGACAGAATTTCGCATTATCAAACTCTAGCGTGACCGCAGGTAAGTGTGCTGGAGCGGGGTTGGAACTAAACTGTGCAGGGCTGCGGCCCTCCAGGGAGTTTGACATCCCTGATTTAGAGGGTTTTGCATCTGAACTCTTCATATAATGAAAGTCGCATGTTTCCATCTTTCTTCAAAAACAGATGAAAGAAACTCAAACAGGTTTGGAGTGAGTGTAGTGCGAGTACAGTAAATGGTGACAGAGTTTTCATCTTTGGGTGTGTTTTAAGCTGTTCAGCAGTGTCATAATTGACACCCAGAACTCAGCATTTACAAGCGACTAATAAAGCGATCATCCAGTTTTTGCTTTTTCTGCTGCCAACTTTAGTTCCTCCGAAAATCTTAAATTGATGGAGCCAGTCTTGGGTCACAGATGTCTGGGATTATATAATAGATCAAGTTCAGCTCTGAGACTGAGAAGTGCCCTCGGAGAAACACACTGCAGAA